ATGAGAAATTCGGTGGAAAAGGTACCTTTTAGGCTAGTTCGGGATGGTTGACTTTATTTGTTACGAGAGTTAGAAATTCATGGCGAAAAACTTTCCGCATCTAACGAAGCCGCTTCAAATTTTGTAAATGAATTAGAAAGCATTATTGAAACTGAAGGATATGAAGAAGAATTTACTTATAATGCGGATGAAAGTGGACTGAATTGAAAATCTCTACCACGAAAATTCAGCTTCAGGAGATGAAAAACGTTTTTCTGGGAACAAGATAATTAAAGAAAGAGTCACAGTTAACGTAGGCGCAAATGCAACTGGAAATCATCGAATGCCTTTAATGATGATTGGAAAATCTAAAAATCTAAGAGCCTTCAAAAATGTTAAAACACTGCCTGTCATTTATGCACCTCATAACAAAGCGTGGATGAACACCAAAATATTTATTGACTGGCACGATAAGACTTTCATTCCAAATGGGAAGAAACATCAAAAGAATTTGGGGAAAACAGGAAATGCAATGGGAAAAATAGCTTTTGCAATGGAAAATAAAGAAAAATGTGGTAAAATCAGTAACTGTCAAAAAAAATTATAAAAAGCTGAAATATAATTTTAAAAAAAATTCAAAATGAAAAAGAAAGTTTAAAAATAAATAAATAAATTAAAAATATTTAAAAATTGAAAAAAAAAAAACTTTTAAACACGCCAGAACTATTTTCGATAGTACTGCTAGTCCCAAGCCTGGAAAAAGCGTAAAGGGGAGTTAGTGCATAAATAATAATCATTTAAACTAAGATTTTAAACAACTTTCGAATTATCCGACCTTTTCATTATCCAAACCACTTTCGGTCCCGAGCAGTTCGGATAATCGGCGCTCTACTGTAATTCGATTTGTTGATTGGATAATTACATTATGACACTCATTTTAAAGTTACATGTGTGTCATAATACAGTTTATATAACTAAAAGGCTCACTTTGAATTCATATATTTTTCTTTTACTAGTCCCCTCTCGTGCTTGGGAGGAACTTCTTCGCTTTGAATTAAATTAACATCTGTTAGAGATTGTAATATGTTGTTATAGTTAATATAACGACTGTAACTTACTACTTCCAATTAATTTTTATTGTTTTGCTTATGGCAACGCTGTTGAAATGTTTTATGTTGGATATTTAGTGTTCGATTAATTAAGATTTATAAATATTGCTTAATTTAAGTTGGTTTAGAATTAATAAATATTTGTTATGTTTTAATTCGTATCTGTTTATTCATCTGTAGAACTTTATTTGAATAATACTAAAATGCGTCCGTAAAATTTATTTGTTTGCTGCAATTCTGACGTCTGCGACCCATATAGCAAAAATTCTTCCGTAGTAGCTCCCACGGAGGAATCGCTCACCCTCCCCCGGAGATCCCGACTTTTCCAGAATTCCTCCCGCGGAGCTCCTCAGTAATGCAAAATGTCCGCACCTTTCAATTCCTCAGTCCCTCCGACGGGCTTCCCGAAAGTCACTCCATTGGAGCAGCCGAGGAAGAACGGTTAGGAAGTTTCAAGGTCACATACTTTCCGATGGCTTTCCCCGGGCAGTCTCATAAGGAAGTACTGAGGAAGTTTCAAGGTCATATACTTTCCGACGGCTTTCCTCGGGCAGTCTCCTAAGGAAGTACTGAGGAAGTTTCCACAGGGCAAAATTTTTAGTAAATCCGTACTCCGGCTATACAAGTTAATATAGCTTTTTAGTTAAAAGTTCTTTTGATAAATTTCAAATTATAGCCCATTTGTAACACTGATGCTCAAGTGAAATAATATTGAATTTTTGATTATTTTCATTACATACCTCCTCAGTCTTATTGTCTTTAAATATTTTATTTAAAAATAGATTTTTAAATTGAAAAAGAAAACTTGAAAATTACTGCTACAAAAATTGTAGCAGCAAACTTCTACTAAAAGCAATGATTCTCAATTGGAAACTTTATTCATTAGCATGAAAAACACTGCATATAACATATTTAATAAAAACAATGTGCATTGCAACTTATTTTATTAGTTAACGGAAATTTCAAATGAAGAATATTGCGTTTAATATAGAGCTGCTGACAGTTAAAAAAAAATTTGCGTACATGTTGCTTGAAATTTTTTTTAATATACAAAAGTGACATAAATAAAAAAAATAAAAGCTTAAATTGGAAGAAAAAAACACAAAACAAATGTTAATTAGAAATATTTTTTTAAATTTATTAAAATTAAGAAAGTTTTTTTAAAATTTTTTTACAGTTTGCTACATTTCTCTTTACAATGGCGCAGCCAACTCTGGATTGGTTCCTTCATGTTAGCATTCGTAATATCGCTGTGATGAATTCGTACAACATCTAAAATATAAAAACAGAAATTTTTTATTTTAATTACAACTGAAAGGAAAAAAGAACTACTGAGAGGTAGAATAAAAACTTTATATTTGTTTTTTATACACTGGAAAAATTTATATGTATTTTTTTTATTAATTTCGAATGGTATTTGAGCTGCATATTAAGCGCTGAATTTTATTTGAAATTTTTGCATTTAATGTTTTTAATAAATATAAAGCAATATTTAAAAAAAAGTCTGGGTACAAGAATTCACAATAACGTAATACCTTTCCTTTAAAATATCCCTCCTTGATTAGAAAAAAAAAAAAAAAAAATCCCATAATTTTGGGAGCTTGAGATCTCACAGGTGAAAATTTATAGTTTTGTTTTTAATAGACTGAAGCTAGTAATTTCTTCATCTATTTTCAGAGACTCCTGAGCTTCATCTAAAATATTACTTTTTTTTGCATTTAGTTCTTCCATTTGGCTTTCGGCTTCCCTTTTTCCTTTGCCGAAGTCTTCTTTCTCCTGTTGGTGCCTTTTTTCTTTATCTTCCACATACCTCCCAGGTGAATTTCGGATACTCAGAATTAACTGCTTGCTGATTATGAAGTCACTTGCTTACCTTGAACAGTTAAACTGGCAAACACAATTCGTCTGGCAGTCAAACTTTCTTCTGTCATGTTGTCCCACAAGAATCGAGAAGTTCTGATTTCGCGGAATTTATTGCCAATTTCCAGGTTTGGTGAAGACATTTCTAGGTTTTTGTGATATCTTCACAAATTTCTCCGAATTTTCAATGGCTGATAAAATTTTCTGATTCTTCACTGATTTCCAGGTTCAGTCGCCACAGAAGGAATGTTTTGCCCCCATGCTGAAATTAGAAATGTTTACTAACTTTCAGCGATGTGATTTTCAGCTTTTTTTGACGTTTGTAAAGAAATGCAGTTATAATTTAAGAATTTGAAAAATAAACATAAGGCCTTTATAAGGCTTCAATATAAAATTAAGGCCTTTTTATGGGCCTTCAATCTTCTCTCCTTCAAATAAGGTCTTTTTAAGGTGCGTGGGAAGCCTGATGGAACTTTCAAATTAATATTTTGATGAAATATGTAGCTACTGTAAGATCTATTAGGAAAAACAAACTTAAGATGTCAGAGTCAGAAGTAGCTCATAAGGTTTTAAATGTTTTCTCTAATCCTGAAAAACATAAGATTTAGACACCATTCTTAAAATCATAGGAAAGTGTAAATTTAGAAGACAAGAGGTTTTATCTTTTTATAATTAATTTAATAAGGGTGATAAGATACATCTTCAGGATGAATTTTTTATATTTAATTTTTCAGAATTTTTAAAACTTTTTTGTATTTACATTGTAAATATTAACTAGAAAGGTTTTTAAATAAAACATTTCAAAAAAGGTTTAAATACATACATCCCTTTCACTGACTAACTAATCAGTTTGTAGCATTTATACAGCTTTTTTCTCAATAAAACTGCTTCTTATTGATAGTTAAAACAGCAGAAAATTAGAAAAATAAATAAAAGTATAAATAATTATATTTTAAAGGTATTAAAACAAAATACTACATTAGAATTAAATACCTGCTAAAACACTGCATATTTCCAATTCAGCAAATGGTCGTTTTTTGTTGGTGCCAAAATAACTGAAATTAGCAGCTAGCTGTGGGGTGATTACATGTTGGAGGAGACGATATATTATATTTGGTACAGTATTTCCTCCTATTTTTCGCAGATCAGATATCTGGAGAACAAAATGAAATTACTCATTATTAAAGAAAAAATTATTTAATATCTGTGCAAAAAGATCTTTTATGCATTTTTAATAGCTACTGTAATTACAAAATACGATTAAAATTCAAAATGGGATAAAGAGCAGAGTATTTACATTATTTCTTAATAGAGGGTAGTAAAAAACCAAGCTATTGTATTTGTATTTATTGAATTTTTAAAAATAACTGTATCTCTAAATAAAATATAATAGGATTTGAATGTGTATATAAATTTTATTACTTCAACTATTGTTTATTCACCAAGTTTAAATTCTTTTTAACACGTTCGCTGTTTAAAAAGTATTGCAATAACCTAAGCGGAATTAAAATCAAAAACTAATGAGAATGTAAGCACTGACTTTGATATTGATATATGACCGCAATAAAATGAAATTGTCACCGAAAAAGTTAAAAGAATTAAAAAATTTTAATTATTAAAGAAATGATGGACTGGCTTGATCATAAGCACTTAACCGCGTTTTTCATCATGAAGATAGTTTATAAATTGCTATGGGGAATAGAACACCATTAATAATGGAAAAGTGATGTGACTTTAAAAATTTATATAAAATCAGAGGGAGGGGATAAAATAAAAAGCAAGATGTCGTTTAATCAGAAACAGTTGGGAAAAAGAAATATAAAAATTTTAGATAAAAATATAAACTGCAAGATATTAATTAAAGTTGTAACGTATCAAGCTATATTAAGAAACAGTTCTATGTTTTATTAAAAAAACGTTTATTTCACACCACAACACATACAGTAACAAATATAAAGTACCCGTAACGGGATAGTGAAAAGATCATAAAACAACAAGAAAAACCCGTAACGGGATATAAGGAAACTCACCCGTAGCGGGATAGATAAAATATTATAAAACAAACTAGATAAAGTGCCCGTAACGGGATATATGAGAACCTAAATTCCACACAAAACTAATTCTAAAAAATCAACAACTCTCTGGTGTTCTAATTTTATCGTCTGCTTTTATTTTTTTAAATTTATCTCTTTATATGCTTATTTTATTTTATTTATGCTTTTGCCAGCCCGTTATTTTTTTAATATTTTTACTTTTATTCATGCTTTTGCAAACCAATTATCTTTCTTATATTTTCAGACTTTTATAAAGTGTACCAAGTCAGCGTTAACAAACGGCAAAATTTAACATAGCGAAAACCTATACCCAATCGCGACATATTTTGAAAAGATACAAATAATAAAAGTACCACACCACCGGAAATTAGAAACTTAATAAATTCCGATAGATAATCACATAGGCGTTTGCAACAAAATGTTTTTGACCAAGAATGAGCTCGAAAAAATATTAAAATAAGTAGCCAAAGTTAGCGAAAGATTCCACTTGTGGTGGATGACACGTTAATATGGCGGTCTGATATTCTAATCCTAAATCAATGGAACATCGAACTTCAAACACTCAAAATGCGAAAATTGTCCATAATTTTATATTTATTTTTAATTAAAAGACGTTGTTGCTGTTTTTTCAAAGAATTTAAAGATTTATCTTATCATATTAAAAATGTAAGAATTAATATTTATACTTACTTGCTAATGAAAATCCAACAGAACCCAAATCCCAATTGAACGTTGATCACAAAACTCATTTCTAATACGTAGAGCTTTGCCAAGCATCCAGTAATCGTAAGTCGGAGTGGTGAACGAATGAGATCAATTATGATGCTCCTATGGAATAACGAG